AACCATTAAATGGCCGTGACCTTCTGCCCCACCCAGAGTTCAAAGCTCTATACAGTAGAAACTTTCCCTTCTATTTACATTACAGCGTCAGCTTTTCTGCCAGATCTTAGGTCATTAGAAAGCAAAACAAGAGCAGGGAAAACCTTCCAGAGATAAGAGGAAGCCTAAGTCTTTCTTTCTGAAGAGTAGCGAATGAGATGAACTCGTCACAGATGGAGGTCCACACCTCGATAAACGATAGGCAGTAGGAAAGGGGGAGAAAAGAAAACAAGTGTGTGTATCTGCCACCCCATTGCTGATATCATAGGGTCAAGAGATAAACCACCCAGGACATACTAGGGTCTTTTTAGACTAGAGAGACTGAGAAAGAATTGAAGATCATTGTCTCGGGGTAAAACAGGATTTAAAAAATGTGAGAAAAGTCACCATAGATTGAAGTCTCTGAAAGATAAAAGCCAAAGAACTCTTGCTACCTGGGTCATCATTCAAACCATAGAGTGAGCTTTGCTCATGTCAGTCTGCTTTTGCAATTATTTCCAAAGGATTACACTCGGCTTTGTTTCTGAAAGGAAGAGAAATTCAGAATTTTTGGTGCATCCTATTCAAATTAGATTGATTTATGTATGTATGTATGTATTAGGGGTAGGAGAAAAAATCGATCCATCGATGCATCTCGATTCTCTCTCCAACGATTCTGGATCGATTCTGAGAATTTCAGAATGGATTCTGAGCTTAGTTTTTAACCAGATGTACGATGACGCCGAGTTTGCTTTAGAAACACCCGTATTCTGCTTGCTTCCAATTTCTCACACACATACACCACTCGAACCTTCCGTAAAATAATCTTTCATAAAGTTCGGAAAGGTTGAAGCGAATTACAAGGACATTCGTGGGCTTCATTGCACAGGATGCTCTGTGAGAGGCATGCGCTTTGTTTGATGTTTACACTTGAAGTGTGCGGTGATCGACCGTCGGTATTTTCCTTACAAATGCTCTATACGAAGTCATCATTTATGTGGTTTGGAATGCAGTGGACTTATATATTTAAAATATGAACCTCACTAACAGAAGGCTGCTTTCAATTTCAAATGCTGACGCGCACTTTGTTTGTCATTTGGTACTGCTCGCGCATGCGGCTGTGCGCGACTCCGTGTAAGTGGTCAAAATGGTTTTATGATGCAAAATTAATGTAAACTCAGCGTATTCTGCTTGCTTCCAATTTCTCACACACATACACCACTCGAACCTTCCGTAAAATAATCTTTCATAAAGTTCGGAAAGGTTGAAGCGAATTACAAGGACATTCGCGGGCTTCATTGCACAGGATGCTCTGTGAGAGGCATGCGCTTTGTTTGATGTTTACACTTGAAGTGTGCGGTGATCGCCCGTCGGTATTTTCCTTACAAATGCTCTATACGAAGTCATCATTTATGTGGTTTGGAATGCAGTGGACTTATATATTTAAAATATGAACCTCACTAACAGAAGGCTGCTTTCAATTTCAAATGCTGACGCGCACTTTGTTTGTCATTTGGTACTGCTCGCGCATGCGGCTGTGCGCGACTCCGTGTAAGTGGTCAAAATGGTTTTATGATGCAAAATTAATGTAAACTCAGCCAGTTATGTGTCAAGGGATTAAACAGACAGGACAAACCATATTACTTCCGTGCATGAATGCAGCTTAATGGATCTAGATGTCATAGTAAAAAACAACATTAAAGATGAAGAAAAATCATTCGCAGTTCTTGAATGGAAAACGTTCAGATAATCTTAAATACTGAAAGCAGTCTTTGTTTTTTGTTTGTAATATGTTTCTATGCTCCTCTGTATTATTTGCTACATGCTTGTATGTTTTGAAGTTATATTAGTTTAAAATTACATTATTAATTATTCATAATTAATTATTATTAACATACAACTGTTTTAATTATTTTTTTCAATTTGTAATTATTTTAAAAAGTACTTAATTACTTATGTAAGGATATGTAAATGTAAGGATTTTACAATTCTCAAGTTGGTAAACTAATTAATTAATAAGGGGGAGGAAGTATGTATGTGTTTGTTTGTTTGCTTGTTAGGTAGTTTAAACAGCAAAAAAACAAGGTATACATGATATATCAGCCAATAGATATTTTATCACATTAGTCGATATTAGATATACCTGTATATGTCAGCCAATTTAACAGGCAAATTTGACCTATTTTTATGTTAATATTTCCTACCATTTTTATGCTAATATTTAACATTTAATGCTCACTTGGAGTTAATATTCTAAAACACTAATCATTTAATAATACTGTATTAAATCTATTAGATTTTCAGTTTTTAATACTTATAACTTTAATACTTTTATTCAACACGGATGCATTAAATTGATCAAAACTTACAGTCAAGACATTTAGAACAACATAATAAAGACAATGTTACAAAAGATTTCGGTCCCACTATTATATATATTGAGCGGCCTTAACTACCATGTACTTGCATTTAAATTAATCATTTGGTACAATGCACTTATTGTGTGCATAAATGTTTTTATATTTTAAAAAAATACCTGCATGTAATTACATCTGTAATTCATTTCTGAAATTATATTTAGAATTACACTGTTGACCCATCCCTTACACCTTAACCCACCCTTAAACCTAACCAGACCACCAAACCTGTCCCTAATCTTACCCGTATCCCACCTCAATAGCAGCAAAAGTGTTTTGCAATACAATATGAACACAATAAGTACATTGTACTTATTTTTTGATGTAAGTACATAGCCGTTAAGGCCACTTAATATAAAGTGGGACTTTATATTAAATTAATGCTAAATTCATTTAATATTAATATTTTAAATGAATGCTAAATTGATTTAAAATTATTACATTCAAATAAATGCTGTTCTTTGAACTTTCGATTAATCACAGAATCCTATAAAAAATAGCAGCACAACGGTATTCAACATTAATAATAATAATAATTATTATAATAAGGCATGTTTCTTGAGCACCAAATTAGCATATTAGAATGATTATCATGTGACACTGAAAACTGTTTATATTAAATTAATGCTAAATTCATTTAATATTAATATTTTAAATTAATGCTAAATTGATTTAAAATTATTACATTCAAATAAATGCTGTTCTTTGAACTTTCTATTAATCACAGAATCCTATAAAAAATAGCAGCACAACGGTATTCAACATTAATAATAATAATAATAATTATAATAAGGCATGTTTCTTGAGCACCAAATTAGCATATTAGAATGATTATCATGTGACACTGAAAACTGGAGTAATGGCTGCCGGAAATTCAGCTTTGCCATCACAGGGATAAATTACATTTTGAAATATATTACATATAATTACACAGAATACATAGAAAACAATTATTTTAAATTGCAATATTTCACAATATTCCAGTTTTGCAGTTTTTGATCATATAAATGCAGCTGTGTTGAGCATAAGAGACTTAAAAAAGCATTTTTAAAAAACCTACTGATTCAACCTTTTGAATGGTAGTATATGTGACATTCACTATGAAAAAAAATTTGTAAAAAGCATTATGTTGACGCTCACATTAACATAGCAACTGTCCTAGAGATTGGATGCAAAACCAAATTGGATTTGAGTACAGTGTGAACAAAGTCCGTCCCAAACTAGTGTGCCTGCTTCACGCTGTTCTCAGAGTTTAACATGTGTTTTCTTATGTTGTCAACCTTGGATTAGCATTTTTGTTTTCTTCTTTGACACTATACCAAATGGCTTATCGTTGCGGGTTAATTGGTTTTCTAGCACTGGCATCTGGGGATGGTAATTAGGGGAGACAATGCTCTTGATATGGGCTTTGATTAAACTCCCTTCAGTGCTGAATATGACAAGAAGCTCTTTTTTTATCAGGGATGCAAGTTTTGTTTGCAGACTGACGTGTTTCAGAAGAAAAAAAAACACCTCCAGATGCAATGCTAACAGGCATATTTCCTTTCACAGATCTTTTTCTGGTACAAAAATATTCCCACAGAGTGTAACATCAGCCTTCGTTCACCTGCCGCTGCTGATGAACATCCTCTAATAGTCTCCTTTACACGCATACGAGCGCGCGCACACACCAACATCAAAAGCCAATTACGGCAAAATAATGAAGAAACCAAATTGCCCCGAGACGTTTTGCATCGTGACAAATCAGTAAAAGGACCATGATGACACACAATGAGGTGCCAATAAAGCATGGGGCTGCAGAAACGTTTGACTCCCAGTCGTGGGGGTCACACAGATTCACTGACAAGTGCTATGGTAAGTAGTTTTGTCTCAGACGTGTTACTTCTGGCCTTAATCAGCCCGTTTTTTTTTCGCCACTTCTTCAATCAGGGAAATCAGTCGCAGTGGCTGATAAGGGTCTATTCTAGAGCTACAATGAAGAAAGACGGGGGTTTGGGGGCTTTTAGCACACATCAGATAACATAAGAGCTGTACTAAAGAGAATGTGATGTGAGATGGATAGTGTATCACAAGTAGTAATGGCTTCCTCACGAGGGACCCAATCAAGCGCGGTTGGCTCCCGAGATGTGGCAGCAGAGAAGGACCCTCCCTGACACTGTGGCACAGATGGATAAACAAAGGATCGTGCGAAAAAGGCCACACGACTGACCCACATTCATTATCCAGGGACTAAACGGATTCCCCTCTAAAACTGAGAAGGATCAAAACTCCAGTTGTAATTGGGCTGATTCCCGACCCCACACCCTGACACTTCTTTACTCCTTCTGTCACGTCTTGTGTTTTGCATGTAATTACTTCAATCATGTCAAAATGTGTGCAGAAATGTTTCCAAATGAGGGCCTGGTTAGTGTTGTTCCATTAACCACCCACATGGGCAACCACAGACATGGTTGGACACCTCAGATTTCATCTGCCAATGGATGACGACACGTTTTCCACTGTCTAATTCATGGAGAAACCACCTAACATCGCAAAATGATGTTACAATGAAAATGAGACACTTACCTCCTCCACCGCCGAGCAGAGAAGAGTTTGCTGTAGAGGAAACAAAAGAGAGAAAAACAACATGAGTGTCTGAAATAAGGAATACGTTGAAAAGAAGCACTTTAGCTCAATGCAGAGCACACTATCATTCAGATGAGAGCCAACAGATATGTAGAACCTGAAGGTCAAGAACACTCCAGACGTTTGCACTGAATAGAGGTTTGAGGCACCAGTGAGCTGGCAGCCGTACTGCAGAATGCTATCATTACACTTCTAAATGAACACCATTGAGCGCTAAACACCCAGGCTGCATGTTTTTGGTCAGAGCCGAGTGGGCTACGCGTAGAGCTGCTGTGGTGAGTTTAAGCAGACACGGCTGGGGCCCGGGCGTTTCTTTAATGCAATGTTTCTGATCTGCGATGGTGCAGTGGGCGTCCCGGGGTCAAAGGCCTGTCTAAGAAATCCCTCCCGCCACCCGAATAAGAGTGCTAAAAACAGACAGAGTAAAACTATATTCCACTCCCCTCTACTTTGTTTAGCACAGCAAGACACTCTTACACCATTTTTCACTATTCTACAAGTGATGAAGCCAATAAGAGGTTTCATTAGAGAAAAAAAGAGGGGTTAATGAAACATTATAATTACTAAGATTATATCTGCTATAGACTACACTAAAAATGACAAAGTGAATTAAAGAATTAAAATTTAAAAAGCCCAACAAAATATAAAATAAAAGAAAGATGCAACTAACAACCGATTATGATTTATAAAAAATAAAAAAACAACAGGCTAACCATTCAAATGCTTATTCCAGCAATTTGAAAAAGTAGAAGGCACCACATCTACACCCAAACCAAAGCCCTGGTATATCTATAATACTGGTTATATGAAATCCAGTAAAAATTTATAAAAATGTATATTACAGTTATGTACAAAATTAATACTTTCCAATTCATGACAATTATATTTTAATTATAAATTATAAAATGCATAATATGCATTGACACATATATAGGCTACATACAGCCAAATAACAGTTTTCACAAATAAAATGTATACATTTTTAATAAAAACAAATAATGTTAATCGCATGTGTGTGTGTGTGTGTGTGTGTGTGTATTTATATAAAACCTGTTATATAATATTACTATTATAATATATATAGTATTACATCATATAATAGTATTATATATTAAATCTGCACTGTTCAGAACAAATGCTAAGAGATACATCAGCAATTTAACAGCAAAGAAATGTCCTAATGGTGCGACTGTGCTTCTGTCTGAGCTTTCCCAACAACAACAGCACGGCATCTCTTATCCCAGTGGGGACGCAGAAAAAAGTTTAGAATAATGACCCACGAGGGTCCTTTTATTTTTACTTAAATGTTTCTTTCCCTTTGTGAAGCAAGTCTCTCTGTGGGATTCTTGTGATCTCTCTATCCCTCGCTCCTGCTCTTTTTTCTTAGAGAATAAGCATCTAGGTAAGCATGAAAAAAACCTGCTACCTCCACTGAGTTCGACAAGACTAACCTCTCAGCAACTGATATCAAGGGAGACATTAAAATCCTCAAAATGGATGGGGACTTTTCCTTAGCAATCTCTTATCATAAGACAGTGAACAGGAGAACAAATGGAGTACAGCTGCTGTGAAGAAGCAAAAGAAAAAATGTGTGCACTTCCAGAAGAATACCTCAGTGCTGCTGTGCTGTGGAACTGGCTACTTGCCGTATGATCCAAAGTTATAGGAACTTGAGTCCAAACAGGCCACAGTTAAAATCTAAACAGAAATCTACACCAGAAGCATAATCGTGCCATATTGCACTCTGATAGAGCGATTAATCATAAAACACATTAGCTCCCTGTCCGTCTTGTTCTATATCTAAGCAATAAGGTACAAGAGGAAAATAGTCATAGTTAAAAGTAGTGATCAGCCGATATAAACATATTAATAATGTCAAATTTATACAGCTACACTACTGTTCAGTAAGATTTTTTATTTTACTTGTTCTTTTGTACAGCAAGCACACATTAAATTGATCAAAAATTACAAATACCTTTATAACGGTACAAAATGTATCTATTTCTGGCCTTTCTATTCATCAAAGAACAAAATTATGAAGCAGCACAACTGTTTTCAGCATTGATAATAAGAAATGTTTCTTGAGCACCAAATAAGCATATTAGAATGATTTCTGAAGGATCATGTGACACTGAAGACTTGAGTAATGGATGCTGCAAATTCAGATTTGCCATCAGTAGAATAAATTTGTAAATATATTAAAATAGAAAATTATTTTAAATTGTAATGATATTTCACAATATTACTAATTTAATGTATTTTTGATCAGATAAATTATGCTTCTAGCGTCACAATAGTTGCTGAATGTAAAAAGCAAAAACACATTTTGTACAGTTTTTTTTTTTTTCTTCTGATGTGCTCCAAGCTTCATAATAGTTGCTAAACGAAAACAAACACCAACATTGTCATCTCAATGCAGGAAAGCAGACAGGAAGACAACATGTGCTACTTCCTGTGCCATCCTAGACCTTTGCTCTGCTGGCTGTCCACCCTTGATAAGACCACAACACTCAATAGACAAAGACAAAGTTCTGTCTGTACATGGTGCAGTTTTTTCTGTCCTGTCCAGGTCATAAATCCCAGTCAAAGCTTCCTGCTCTCTCTTAGAGAACTGACGAGGGGCCGGTATGACTCACAGCAGTGGGCATCCTACTAAGCTCGTAAATCTAACAATACAGAAACACCGAGATTGTGCTGGTCATTAGTTAGTGTCAGAAAACAACACAGACGCCGGCCTCCATGGTGACGACATCCTCACACATTCCCACACACAATTGCATCTTTCCTGTGTTTTTACTTTTGCACTCAGGGTTGATACCACACAGCTAAAAGCTACTCACACTTTCCTGTCGGGCCCATAGGGCAACAACGCATGTACCCCAGAAAATAAAAAAATACCACCAGAGAAAACGAGAAACACTCTGTATTAATACATCACAGACAACACGCACAAAACTTTTAGCAGACTCGCTAAAGAGCGCTAGAGAGCACAACCACCAGAACAGCCAGGCATAAGAACAGTTTTTCCCACAGGCCATATTGAGCCTGAACAATTAAAAAGTTCACAACTACACACTGTCCATCATAACTGACACTTTTGTACATAGCATCTGGAAACTGTATATTGTAAACTACAAAAACGGTACACTTGTTAATAACATAGCTGTACATTCATTTAAACAATTGTATGTTTTTCTCTATATTTTTATTTCTATATATAGTGCAGTATTATTATTCTGTTTTCTTATATTAGTGTTATTTAATCTTTACTGTGTAATTCTATGTATGTCAGCACTATCATGTATGTTTGCACTATGCATGTACTTTCTTCTGCAGTGGAAGCTCTTGTCACCAAGTCAAATTCCTTGTGTGTGTAAACATACTTGGTAAAAAAGCTTTCTGAAAAAATTAAGACATGCAACAAAAACTTAAATAAGTCAATATACAGTGGTCTTGATACTTAAGTATTTATCTGTATGAATTAAACATATTTGTTAAGTTATTATATTTAGTCAATTATGTTTAGTCATTTAGCTGAGTTTTTTTTGCAAGGCATTTTAAACTACACTGATAGTACAGGACAATTATTTTAGGGTCAGTCCAACAGAAGTAACGTGACGTTTTGATTAGGCATCTTAAAACTAATTTTCAAAATATGCTATAATTACACTGGCATTGGATTCTGTTTCTTTGCTTTTATCTCAGTGGGACTTCCTAGTAAAATAAAAAATAAAAAATAAAATATATGGACGATAAATACAACCCTTCAATAAAGAGACAAATAAAACAGAGCAAATAAAAAGAATAATTAACTAAAACCTTTTATCACACACCACTATCATATGTTCTTTAACATTTCGTATATATCTTTTTAAAGCTACATTGTTTAACAGTGAACACATCTTTGAAAAATAAATGTTAAAGGGGTCATATGATGCAATTTAAATTTTTCCTTTCTCTTTGGCGTGTTACAAGCTCTTGGTGCATAAAGAAGATCTGTAAAGTTGCAAAGACTAAAGTCTCAAATCCAAAGATATATTCTTTATAAAAGTTAAGAGTCAACCACGCCTACCTAAAACGGCTCGTTCTAACACGCCCCCACATGTCTACGTCACGATGTGGGAAGATTTGCATAACACCGCCCAAATGTTCACGCAAAGAAAGAAGGCATAACTTTCATTCTCGCTGTAGTATCGTTGCTGCCACCATGTAGTGAAGGCGCTGTGTGTTTCGTTGTGAAAGCGAAACTACTTTGTTTGGCCTTCCAAAAGGATATAAATTCTTTATATTTAGAGGTGCACCGATTGCAATTTTCTTGGCCGATTCCAATTTCCGATTTTTTTGTTAGTGTGAGCTGCCGATACCGATTTTTGCCGATTCTGATTTTCTTTCTAAGAACTATGTTTGACAGCATATACAAACAAAAATCTACTTTTCTTCAACGCAGTTTTATTTTAATTTAAAAAAAAAAAAAAAAATAAAAAAGCCAGAAAAAAAAAAAATTGCAAACAACAGCACAAATAAATGCAATAGAATAAAGAGCTATGAAACTAAATTTTTCAGGTTAAGTAAGTTTCTTAGTAAGAAATACTACAGAAATTAAAGTAATCAAATATAAAGCAACACATCCAAGACGGGCATTTTGACAATTTTGTATGTATTTGAACGTTTTAGTGCAGTTAGCCACTCATTTTGGTATTTGTGGCTCACAAGCTGTTTGAGACTTTTGTGCTCCACTAATATAGATCAGTGGTGGTGCGCGCGCTTTTGGTGTAAGTACAAAACCTGCGGGAATGACTAAAATAATGCGCAATACAAGCACTATTTAACCGGAGCGAATGAGACGTGTGTGAGAGAGAAGGGGTCGTCGGGAGAGATGAGAGTGAGAAATGCGTGGCTGATGTTATTGCCTGTGCCACTGGTAACAAAACGGATCGGCATGGAATCAGAAAGAAGTGAGACTGATCATG